TTATTGTTATAATTCCCCAAAATATGTTTCAGTTTTAAATAACCCACAAAAGGTTGGTAAGCCATAAAAAACAAATCTGTCAAAATCTCTAAACTAGAGCATTTAAATGGTATTCTGTTAGCTAAAATTATACTACAATGTGCCATTTTGCTATATATATGGTAATAAACATATAATTAATAGAAACAACAAATGCCAATCTAATTACACAGTCTACTTATGAAAACCAAAAATAGTAAGTTTCCAGTTCTAATCAGTTGTTGCAATTCAGACATTTGTGATTTGTATAATAATGTCACACTGTGGTTGAATTATCTTACAAATATAGAATCTAATTACAGATGTTACAGTTCTTACAGATGTTACAGAAATGGATGACTAAACTTTCATACACCATGTGTTAGTTTTTCTACACTCAAGTCCAGATGCACTTTATTTTATTATTATGCCTCTTGATTCCTTGGGGAATATAGGGCTGCAACAACATCTCTCCGATGAACGCAGTTCCAGGCGATCCTTTTCAGCTCAGCCCATGTCATGCCAGCTGCCTTCACCTCTGCGTCAACAGTTCTGCACCAAGTCTGTTTTGGTTGACTCACATTTCGCTTCCCTTGTGGATTCAAGGGCCTGCCTGGTGACACTAGAAGCAGTCTTACAAAGTGTGTAGCCGGTCTATACCTATTTCTGTTTCTTGATGTCAATCGTGATTGGGGCTTGTCAGGTCTTCTCTCACAGTTGGTCATTGGAGATGACTTTCAGCCACTTGATATTGAGGATGGTCCTGAGACATCGGTTGGTAAATGTCCGAAGTTTGTGGGTGTTGGCTTTGGTTACCCACCAGGTTTCTGAGCCATAAAGTAGGACCGACTTGACGTTGGTGTTGAAGACCTGGATCTTGTTGTAAGGTGAGAGGGCTGTTGATCTCCAGATTGGCCGCAGAGTGTTGAAAGCATGTCGGGCTTTGTTGACTCAGCACTTGATGTCTTTACTGACAACACTTCCCAGGTAGACAAACTTCCCAGGTAGACAAACTTCTCGACTTCCTTGATGTCTTCTTGGTGTAGTCATACTGGGTCTTGTTGTCTATTGTTTACCCTTACGACCTCCATCTTCCCGATGTTGATTTGGAAGCCAGTCTTCTCTGCTTCTTCTGCAACATGTCTCCGCTCCTCCTGCACATCTTGATGCATTTTACAAACATTGTAAAAATATTTATATCAGTATCTTTAGTATTTTTATATAATTTTTTCAGTTAATATAAAATCAGGATGAACAGTGTTTTTCCCTTAATGAGGCATTTGTCTTCATTTTGATTTTACCAAAATTCTAATGTTTTTAGTAAAATTAGTCACCGAAAGCAGCAGAGAATTCTTTAAATATTGATCAGTCACTTGCAACTCATCTAGTTTTTAATCAATAGTATATGGGTGGGTGCATATCCAGCATTCTAGATGACCAGAGTATGGCAGCTGATCTCTCCTCTGACCTAGCTTTAACAGCTCATTGAGGTGAAAAAACTGGCTTGAAAACCAAATTAGTAACATCCCATCATCACTGAGCAGATGCTGAATTTTTATCTATTGTGATGAATGGGTGTTCTCTCAGGGTGGCCCAGTGCCTTGAGTACCTGTTGGGACTTAAACTCAACCCAGATCTCAAGTGGAACTCATACATCTGATCCATCTCTAAAGATGCTGGAAAAAGTGGTCAGTTCCAAGTATCTGACTCCTGCTATCCGTTACCTTTACAAGATCAGGCTGAAACTGGAATACTGCTTTACATTCTCAATAGAGCCCAAAAGCGTCTCTGCATCCTTGTAGGTGACAAATTATTTTCTGAGTCTGTCTATATTTCTGAGATGAAGTATTATGGACATTATTTACATTATTCGGACTATTGTCCTCATCTTTGTCGCCATATTTATCACAACGTTTCGGCCGTTGTACGCTCCAGCCTTCTTCAGGTGGTTGGAATTTCAAAAATTATTTTCCATCCTACAACCCTTTTCCTTTGGATAAAACATCACAAGCCTCTCATTACTCTATCACTATTTCCAAAGAAAGTGTTGCAACAAACTACATTCTTTAGTTCCTTCAATTCTAACCTTCACAGATAAGACCCACCATGCCAAGCCCATTGTAACAATCCACCTTTGTATTCCATTGGTGAAATGTAAGTTCCACTTGAAGCAGCTTCTTCCCACAAACCACAGCTTTATGGAACTGACTCCCAAGAGGATGCTTCCCCAATGACTACAATCTTAAGTTGTTCAAGTCTAGGGTTAACTGTTATATTCCCCACATATCCCTGTGCATCTTACTTTATAACCCTCTACCTCAAAAGATAGTGCATAACGGTAAAGTCAGGTACTTTCATGTGTGATATAATATATAGTATTGTCTTTTATTATCAGTTAATTCAGTTATATGCAAATACCCCTGGAAAAGGTATGAATCCATCTCCTTTACCCTATGTGCTAAAATAGTTGGACTTTTATATGCAAAAATCATTAATATCTCAAAAAAATTGTTAATGAAATATTCACTTGAAAAAAAAAAAAGGAATTATTCTTACAATCCAAAACATGTTTCGGCTTTAAATAACCCACAAAGGTTTGATAAGCCATAAAAAAAGAAGAAATTATTCTTACAATCTGAAACATGTTTTGGCTTTAAATAACCCACAAAGGGTTGATAAGCCATAAAAAAGGAAGAAATTATTCTTACAATCCAAAATATGTTTTGGCTTTAAATAACCCACAAAGGGTTGATAAGCCATAAAAAAAGAAGAAATTATTCTTACAATCCGAAATATGTTTTGGCTTTAAATAACCCACAAAGGGTTAAGACATAAACTACAAATCAGTCAATACCATTTTAATTGATTTTAGTCAGGTTATGCTATATTTTGCATTTGCTAACATTTTCAACTTTTCTCTTGCTTATTTTTTACTAGATTGTGATGAGTAACAAAATTGTTTAAAAAGGCAATTTTCAAAAAGTTGCAAAAACTGTTCACAAAGAATAAATCAAACACAATGTAAACTGATTGGTAAGAATCTCTGGGCAGTAATACACCAAATCTAATCATGTAATCTTTTGTTGCACATGTAAATAATCCTTAATGTATTTGTGGCTAGTAGAATAATATTTAAGGCTTTTTGAGTTTCCTTTAAGCGGTTTGGAAGTTATAGTAATTTAAAATTGCATTGAATAATCTGGTAACAAGACCAACTAAAATACAATTTCTTGTACATTTATGACTGACTTTATTTCAACAAAAATAAACAAAACTTTATTATTATTCATTTGTGACAAGTATTTCTTTGTTCTTATTTTTTTGCTTTCTATCACAACTCTCAGACTATCATTCTATGATCATTAATTAAGCATTATAAACCAGAAGACTTGAACATTTTCCCTTTATTCTTGGGTGCCTGTCTTCATGAGAAATGACTTAGGCTATGAAGGCTAACCAGCAGGAGTCATTGAAATATAGCTATATAGATAGCCATCCCTAGATAACAGTATCTTTTTTACTGACTTATCAAATAATTAAAAAAAAAAAAGCTTGCCTACTGTTTACTTGGAATACTGTCCTGGGGGTAGAAAATGACTTGAATAAATCAGGTAAGTAAATAGAATTGATAAACACACGTACAATGCTAATGATTACAGTGGCAAAGAATGAATTCAAAGAAAACCTTAGAATAACAACCAATAATTTAAATAAGATAACCTCACCTGTTAGTGTTTTAGATCTACCTTCAATAAGCAATTACATTCAACATAATTACAATTAATAGAATAGGAAAATATGATATATAAATTTCTACAGGTGCAATGGATAAATTGTCATTTAAATTATGCAAAAATGAAAATAAGACTGACATCTCATTTTAATATATTTACCAAAATTGCACAAAAATATCTTGAAATACTAAAGAGTAAATTTATTCAATAAAATTGGCATTGGCTTCAACCACAGCCTCCAGATGAATCTAAAATCTCCTGCAACTCTTCTGGATGATCTCCTTGTTTAAATACTGCCATAACCCTTGCCTTCAGTTCATTTCTAGCGCCCCACACATAATAATCAAGAGGGTTGCAGTCTGAGGAGTTAGGTGGCCAGGTGTAAGGTGTGATGTGGTTGCAGAAATTGTCTGATACCCATGAGTTCTCCTGCTTGTGTGGAATGGTGCAGAGTCCTGTTGCCAGACATAGGTTCTTCCAGCAGCCACACTCTTGACCCAGGGCAGCACTACCTCCTCAAGGCTCTTGATATAGGCTACCGTGTTGAGTCTGAGGCCCTTTGGGAAAATGAATGGCAGCATAATGTTGCCATCACTAGTGATCACTCCCAACACCTTCATAATCACCATTAAACTCATCCAACTCTTTCCAAATCCTCTGCACTGTCCTCGGGTTGCTACCCAAACACTCTGAAATGTTTGTATTGGATCTTCTGGCACAAATGCCAAGCAATACAGCATGCTATTTCCAAATTTCTGGCAGAGTGAATTTCATCATGGTTCTCTTTTTCTCACACATGGTGCCCAACTGACCCTACTATACTGTGCAGTTGACAAAATTAAAAAATATAAAATGGCGACATTATATCCATCGCATCCTGTATATAGCAGAACTATGTTGGTTAATTGAATGACAATGAAAATGTTCTGTGTAACATATTTCGTCTTCTAAAAGGATTTAATCAGAGTCATTCAATTACTCAGTTACGGTAGATAAAGTAGTAACAATTGTTCAATCATGGTGATCAGTTGTTTAATGAGGTCAGAAGTGTACTTGTTAAAATATTGTGATGAGACTGCATCACTAGTTCACTCAGGCTTATTCTTTTTAGTGAACTGTTTTATTGAAGCCATTGTCTACCTCTAGGTTCTGGTGCCCAGTAAACAGCAATTAAGCTAAAAAAAAAAATACTAAGTTCAAGTTACAGATTAGTGCTGTCATGCAGTTTTATCTTATCTATTTTGATAGGTTTGACGCCCATTGACGTTGCCTTTTTGCAGTCTGTCATGATGAATGCTCATCTACCTAAATCTGTTGAAACTGAAGTCTACCTCATTACATCATCAGAAGATGAGTTCATAAGATGTTATCTGGACAAAATGGAGGAAAATAAGGAAGGCAGGTTCCAGCGATCTAAAAGAGCTGAAAGTCTATCCTTGAAGACATTCTTGTGTGAAAGACATGAGAAACCCAGAGGCAAGTCTCAGGGCAATCCCAGCAAAACTCGAGCCAATTCCTGCAAATCTTATGTTTCATTTAAATTCACTGGAGATGGTATCAGAAAGGCATGTTTAGTGCGTAAAAATACCAAACACAGCGGGCATTGTTTGGATAATCGGCAGGAATGGAAAGTCAACCGAATTCATCCCAATCTGATTGAGTTCATTAAAAAACTGAGCAAAGAAGGACTCAAAAAGGAGGAAATTGTTACAAGGGTCAAGAACTGGTCTTTGAAGAACCAGGTTGCTGATTGCATAGATCGCCGATTCTATCCAACATCACAGGACATTCGCTACTTAATGACAAGGGTTCCAAGGAAGGAAAAAACTCATGAAGCAGAAGCAAGTATAGCAACCATATCCAAAATGGAGTCACAGAAAGATGAAGATTCTAGAAATGTGGACAGCAATTCTGAAGCTTCAGAGAAGACTTTTGGAGTTGGAATGAAATGGCAAAGTGAAGGTAAAATTCTTTTTTATCCATTCTTGTTTTTCAGTCCCTTTTCACTCAGGAAATTAAAAAGGTTTTTAAATATATGTTTATGTGAAGATAATGAGACAAAGTGGAAAATTAGTATTAAAAGACATGTTTCACTGGAGAAATGTGCCCTCTTTGGCTTCCTCAGTTTAAAATGAAAAAAAAACTGTATGTGAGTAAGAAGCCTTGGGATCTCTGAGGATAAGTAAGTATCATAAATCAAGTAAATTACCCTAGCTTATCATCTCTTAATGTCCAAACTTGAAAAGTGTCTGTCTGCCTGTGTGTTTCTTTGCTTTATCTATGTCTCTAATAGAGTCATTTGTTATTGTAGGATTTTAAATCAGGATTTTTTTTTTCTCAGCTGATTTAAAAATCTACAGATCCTGATGACTAATATGTATATATGTAAATATATATATATATATATATATATATATATATATATATATATATATATATATATATATATATATATATATAAACAAAATATAATCTTAAGGTATGCTATATTTATGGCTAAAGTGCTTAATATCAAGGATAGAATATATGTAAATGTCCACTTTTATTTATTTATATATATTTGTGTGTGTGTATATATATATATACTTGTGTATTTAGGCAACAAATTCTCTTTTAGGCATGTCTGATTAAATAAATTACAAACATTATGTCTGCTTATTTTTAGCATAATCTGTCCATATTTATTATCAGTTGCATCCCTGATGATGATGATCTCAGAAAGAGATGAAAAGTACTCGGGGGGGAAATAAATTTAATTTTAACTGTTACAGCGCATTTCTTGCTTCATTTGATTGTAATACACAGAAAAATAACTGTGAATAAATATATCAAATAAATTGCACTGTTTTAGTTCCACATGCCATGTCTAATGGATATCAGTTATCTTCTGTTAACTCACCTCTCCAGGTTCTCCACTGCCTTAACCAGGTATTGAACTCACAACTCTTTGGGTATTGTCACTGGATCTAACCAATGCCTTTATCCACTGTGCCATGTGTCCTTAAGGATATCTATGTATGAATTTCTGGAACTTATAAACTTAATGTCTACAGCAACCATTTTTTACCAGTGCTCATATTGCAATTTTTGCTGTTGTTATTGCTTTTCTCTGGCACTCCTTATTACTGGTTCCCATGTTGTATTCAGTTCTATGCTTGGTCGACTCAGGAGATTTTTGTGGCCTAGAATTTGTGCTGATTCCTTAAGTTTACAAATTTTCCAATGATGTTCTTTGTCTATGATTTCAACCTGATCCCACAGAGGGTGGTGATTTCCCTTTTCTCTCCATATGTGGTCAGCCACACCTGATTTTTCCACTTCCCCTCGTGTTACAGCTTTTTGGTGTTCTTGAAGCCTTACCTTGAGGGGGCGGCCTGTCTCCCCTTTATACTTCTTTCCACAGCTGCACAGGATGACATATACACAGTCTTTAGCCATGTTCTCCTCTATGGACGGGGGGGGGGTCTTACCTGGGAGAGGTATCTGTGAAGTGTCATCCAGCTTTTGAAGGTTGTCCTGATGTTATATGGACTGCAGATCCTTTGTATTTTCTCTGATAATCTCTTCACACAAGGCAGGCAGACTGTTTTCTGAGTGTTGTTGTCCTCCTCTTGTACCCGCCTATCCCAGAGAGGTGAATTAACAGGAGATAACTGATAACTGACATCCATTAGACATGGCATGTGGAACTAGAACAGTCTACCCCAGTGTGCGAAATAAAGGTTTCAGTTCGATATTCCAACCACCTGAAGTAGGCTTGAGCATACAGTGGCTGAAACGTTGTGATAAATATGGCAACAAAGATAAGGAGAATAGTCCGAATAATGTAAATAGTGTATTGTTTTGTTTAGTAAACCAATTTATCATGTATAATTATATACATGTCATTTTGGGTTCATCAGGACATTGGTGTGTCAAACAAGGGTGTTTAAGTATGAGTCTAGTATCTTAATCCAAGTATTAGGGGTATAATATGCAAGGTTATATTTGGAAGATTTTTTTAAAAGTGCACTTTATACGATAGGAAATACACCACACTGAGATTCAGACCAGACTGAATCGTCCAGAGAAAAGCTGAGTTTGTTTAAAATGTAACTAAAGATGGTTACATAATTATTTCTGCCAATGCAAATGCACAAGGACCCAAGTCTCTCATTGATGCCAACTGGTAGATATTCTAGATGTTTCACCAGCTCGTTCTGAATAGCAAGGCAGACTCCTGCTTCTCTCTTAGCTATCTCAGTTCTACCAATCCAGAAAAAAATGTGTATCTACCATCAACCTCTTGTAGCTGATCAAAATCAACTAGCCTAGTTTCCAAGAGAGAGCAGCTATGCCGATTTTTTTTTTCTTTTTTTTTTTTTTAGGATACAGGCAATCAAAGCAGTCCTAATTTCAAGATTTTTCTTTCTATTCTGGAAAATTCTCACATTCCAAGACCCAATGAAAAGATCTTTAATATTTGACTTCTTTATTGTTCTGGTGTAGTTTTGGATGTCCAGTCATTTGCACTTAATAACAGGGGGAAAAAAAGGGCTGCTTTATTATGAAAAGAGGACATAAGTTACACAATTCCTCACAGATATTGTGTAAAATGACAATGTACCCTTCACCACCCATGTGCAAATTTCAAGCTAGGAACCTCCAGTGACACCCTTCACCTGTTCCCATCACCATCCCTTCAACACCAAAAGATTTCAAGAGCACAAAGCATGTTGGTGATGTTTACTGAACAACCAGCATATAACTTGTTTATAGTGGTCATTGCATGTGCAGCACAATGCATACTCTCTCCATTAAAACAGCATTGCTTGTACTGGTACTTGGTTTGTCACATGTCTGGTGCTGAAGGGATCACAGGTTTTAAATCAGAGTTTTTCTTCTCCTATGAAAATGCCCTAAGAAGAATGAAAGAGTCTCTCTCTGTCTCAGTGATTGAACTGTGTGCCTGAAGACCAACCCAAGTATTTCTATATCCCCATGCCAATAATATTATCCGTCATGAAACAGCGAAACAGTCTGTCTGTGGATGACTTTATATTGGCTCCTGAAAAATTAATTTCAGTTGAGCTCTCTGGGGAAGAGGTGTGGGTTTGTAAACAGTGACTATTAGGGCTGATATAGCGAGACTCTTCGTCAAAAGTGAATTGAGTCACTGTCAGTCACTGTGTGTGTTTATCTAAAAATAAATACACTAAAATTCACCTTCATCCCTGCCGTGCACCGATGGCTTAGTGGTAGAATCTCCGACTGACACCAATTCAGTCGGGTTTCGATCCTAGCTAGAGGCAACACTGAAGAGCTGTGAAACAGCGAAACAGTCTGTCTGTGGATGACTTTATATATATATATATATATAATCCAAGTGAATTGTAATAATATATTAAAACTGATCCACAAAGAGAGCTCAATGTATTTATTATAACAGAGCATATATAAATAAATAAATTACATAGAATAGAAATTCAAAATTACCCCATTTGAACAGTTATTTCACTCTACAAGAACTTCTTTGAAGGATTTGTCAACACCAAGGGGTTAAGAAATAATCATTATTTTTAATTATTTTATTTCTTGTCTATATTATTTAATGAAACATGCATCAATGAAAAATTGCTGCCTAAATATACTCAATATATATATATACTGGATGTAACAACAAAATTGTCCAAATCATATAACAGCATAATTGCTCATCCCACAAAATGTTTAATATCTAAAAACACACTAAACTAATTGAGTTTCTTTTTTCCAGGTTTTCAGATAAGCCGTTTAGCTATCTTGACACCATTTGTCGTAAGGATCACTGAAAAATCCTTTGAGTTATTCAGCTAGAAAGAGAACATGTTAAAATCATTTAGTGTCAGCTCCACTGTCTTCTCTAACTGAGCAATGGTGAGAGGAAAAATTCATTCAGACCTTCAGTAATGGTACTAACATTCATCTTCCATCTTCAAAGTCCAATCAAGAAACATCAAGAGAATGATGAATAAGTTTAAGAAAGAGGTAACAGTTGAGAGGAAAACTGAACCAGGAGGTCACAACAGGAACAGGGATTAGCTTTTTAACTTGGAGATCAAGGGATCAATTAGAAAAGATCCAACTCAATCCATAAGACGTTTGGCACGAGAGAGAGAAGTTTCGGTTATGACAGTCCAAAGAGCAGTAAAAAAAAGACTTGAAAAATGTCCTGCAATAATATATATATATATTTGAATTTTATATCAATCCTTCATGAGCTTCCAATCCTTAGCTATGATTAATTAATGATTAACCTGTCATTTTCATTTATGATTGATTTCATCATGATTCTTCTGTTAAGTTTGAAGAGTTATTTATACATTCTTATTGCTCAAAGTAGAGTCCAATAGTGTTATAAGAAACCTCAGAGAATTCCAGTAAGATATCTTTAATCATCTCTAAAATACAAAAGTTCAAAGCTTAATCTAACAATTGAACAATTTTGCTGTTACACAATTTGAACAGTTTTGCTGTTATACCCTGTGTGTGTGCGTGTGCGTGTGTGTGTCATCATCATCACCTTGACTTTTTTTAATCATAGGGCTGATCCAAATGCAAAAGTCACACTAGTTCTATCAATAACAGCCATCAGCAATTCTGGTACAGTCATACCTGACCATTGTTTGACATTGTCCAACCAGTTTTTGCATTGGCGTCCTCTCCTACATTCACCTTCAACAGTGCCTAGAATGATAGTCTTGCACAGGCTGTCGTGCCTTATAATGTGTCCAAACCACACCATTTTTCTCCATTTGACAGTGGCGAGAAGAGGTTCCTGGTGGCCCACAAAACTTTTAACCCTTTTCTGCACAATCTCATTTGTTTTTTGTTCCCAATAGAAAATGCCAAGGAGTTTTCTCATGCATTTGTTCTCAAATACTTGGATCCTTCTCTCTGTATCTGCCAACAGTGTCCACGTTTCATATCCATATATATATTTATGGATATATATATATCCATAAAAGCCTAAGTAGATTATTCATTTAATATTATATATATTTTCTGTATTGAAATGTTTAATTACTATAAGTTCTATTAATGAATTGTAAAAATTTGTGATGGAAATTCTATTAACCTTGCAAATTTTCTTTTCTCTTTTTCACAAAATTCCCAAATGATTATTTTGTAAATGTTATATTCCATGCTAATAGGAAAATATACTTGAACGACACAGTGGATAAAATAAATAAAATCAGTACAATAAAAATAAAGGCAACAGTTATGCACAAGGTCGTAGCAAGTCAATCCAGTAGTGAGTGCTACTACTGGAAGGTCGGTAGTTCTCGCATAAGTCTGAGTCATACTCAACAGATCCCAGCTAGAATATTTAGCTACTCCCCCCCCCCCAGGGTTGCATGTGGCACAAGGCCGGGTTTAACGTGGGTTCTCTGAGCCTGTAGGCTTGGCCAAAAATATTCCCTTTCGAACCAGTATAAACGAGTTCAGGGGCAGTCTACCTCCCTGAACGAGACTTTGCCCTTTGGCAGAGCCTCGTCTGGGTTCCTCTCTGCCTTTGGGCAGAGAGTTCGACTGTTTAGCTGGAACAGATCCCAGCTAGACTCTGTAGTTCGTTGACTTACAGATACTTATAGGTAGTTACTACCTCTAGTGTAGTCACTCATGGTGGTGACAGGTTATTCCATTACATTAGTAAATATAAAATTCTTTAATGTGTTACTATCATTTATGCATCAATTGTTCAGACTAATATTCTTGTTTTTGTTTCTTTTGATTTTCACGGTTAATGTATATAATTCATCTGGAGAAGCTCCCCTTTCCAGATGTGTTTTCTGCCCGAGAAAATACTTTTCTGCCTTCTCATTCCAGATGCAGATGCCTTCACATACATAATCCTGAAGAAGCAAATATGTCTTTCACACAGACATGAGGAGGAATTAGGTGTTCCTGAAAATTTAGCCTCATCACAAGAAACAGAAAAAGAACCAAATATAAAGACGGCATGTCCATCAATGAATCCTGGAGAAGAACCAACTACTTCAACTCAGGATCTAATGTCATCATCTTTGGCAGCTATTCCCCAAACATCAACTTCAAATATCTTTGCATTAAAAACCCAAACATCCCTGGATGATGTGCCAACACCTCCATCTCCTGATATTCTCTTATCCCTTACTCCTCAACAAATTCTTCCATCATTGACTAGCACACTAATCTCAAACAAAGATCCAAATATCTTACCCCTATCGTCCTCTCCCAAAACCCTGGCTTCTACACATGCACAAACACAACAGACCCTTAATCAAGAAGCAGCAAAAGGTGAAATTCCATTTTTTTCAGAATCAGCTCAATCTACAAATGAGATTCCTGAACCAGTAACAGAGATTAATGCCACTTCCACAGAAACGGCTTCCAGTCAGATATTACTTCCACGGTTTGTAGAAATAACTTCCCCAATGAAGTTGATCTCATCCAATTCAGACAATGGTCAATTAATAGCCCCAAAAAGATTTTCTACATCCAATATGATAGCCACTAATTTCACTAATGCTCCAGCATCAATAACTATGACCACTGAGGACACACTGCCCATCTCTCTTGCTGAGATCTCTCCTTCAACTGTGACCATTTCACTCTCCAAGGGAGACTCTTCTCTTTCCACTGTTGGCCTTACTCTATCCTCGGACGGCCTGCTTCTCACTGCTGATGGATTACCATTCACCACAGATAGCATTCTTACCACAAACCAAGAAATAGAAGCTTCAGAAAAGTTCACAGAAGAGATTTCTTCTACAACTCCATTACCAATTTACACCTTACATTATAATAGTCTGAGAGATGATTCTGGTGCAATTTCCTGTTCCAATTCTAAATCAGTTGACCAGAAAAGTGAAACAAATTTTGAAGAAAATAATTCTAATTTGGAAGAGAATATTTCAAGCAAGAAAACTGACAAAGAATTCACTGAAATTGAAGGCTCGATCGTGGATGCCTCTTTCTTGCCTACAGAGGAGGCTTTAAGCAATAACGGAGCAGATTGTCTACAACAATCTTCTCAAAACCTTACTGGTGATATAGAACAAAATCCCAATGAGAATTCTTCAGAATTAGCTACTGCAAATCAAGAACCACATTCACAGAAAAATACAGAAAAAGGAGAAAAACAGTCGGAACTGGAGAAAACAGAAAAATGTCATACGAAAGATATAGTTTTGACTCTTACGAATGAGACTTCAAAAATTTCTTGTTCAGTTCATGCAAAGAATAAAGGAAAGAAAATAAAATTATCTTTGACAGACGAGAAACCATCTCAGAGTGTTAAAAGCGCTACAGTCAAAGATTTTAACCAAAGTGAAAGCAGCCATTTAAAAGACAGTAAGGAACAACCTAAAAATAAATTAATTCCTCGCATAAAGAGAACAAAATCAGACACTTTACTAGAACAACCTTTGAAGAAAAGAAAAGTCTTAGGTCAAATAAGACCAAGATCAGACAAGCAGAGAAAGAAGGCTTCTCCAGTTTCAAATAACAACTTTCATACACAACTCAAAAGTACCAATGTCTCTGGTAAGTTATTCCTTTTATCATTTAGGTAAAAATATTTCATAAAACTTATCACTCTGATTCACCCTCATCAGTAACACTTTCTTGGTTCATTGGATATTTTGGGTTTGTAACAGTTATCAGAACATCCAAGAGATATTTTACAAGGTGATACAAAACCCCTTTGGGGCTGATATGTCTCGGAAAGGGATATATTTGTTCAAAGTAGCAAAGTGGTTTTGGACTACTCTAACCAAGTAGGACAATCTAACGTAACCATAATGGACTGTTCCTCGTCGAAGTGGTAGGCAATAAGCATAGGCAATATGCTTAGCCAATAGGTGAAGTCCCTGTACCTCCATATCAGTCTGTATTTATGGCTGACACCAGCCAATCATATTACTGTGAGGGGGAACCCAGGTGTATGCATATTCATTACATCAGGGGCCATGAAACAGACAAAGATTTTTCTCAAAATTGAGGATTGATGTCCAGTAAATCTACATGTAAACTCCCATAAATGCTTTATTTCCATGGTTAAATATAACATAATGTAACAAATATATTCAATTAGAGCAGTAATATACATGCTTTTTAAACATTCATAATAACTTGAACTCTCTAACAGTTACAATACATAAAGTCCTTGCAAAACAAAATAATAATAATATATATATATATATATATATATATATATATAATATATATAGGCACATGATGACAAATATTCTGTGCACTAATCACATCATTACACTAATTTACACATCTATGCATCTATCACAGGTTGTAGGTAGATACTCTTGGTGTTATCATATGTTTATACAATTAAGCCTACAACAATTAATAATTACTAATAAAAAGAAGTGTGGTGTGATAAGTATAATGAGTATGTGAATGTATGTCAGGCTAGACATAGTAGAATGTACTTGTTCTCCACTGCTTAGTTGCAGTGGAACCCTAGAACAAAGTACCGGCTGGAACCTCTTCTTATTGGCTTTGACAATTATTACTTATGGGTGTATCATTACTGCTCAGGATTCTTTAGAAATAGAATGTGTCTCATTACCTCTCTGAGGGTTCCTTTGGTTTCCAGTGAACAAGTTCTCACTGAACACAAATGTCCTAAGTTTACTTGACTACACACAAGCATATTTAATAATTCTACCAAACCAACTAAGACCTTTTCCTAAAATGTTAAGTCTCTTAGAATCTTTCATAATGAACATTACACACACACACATACACACACACATATATACACACACACACAAAAGAATATCCCAACATGAACACCTTAATTTACTCCTTTTATATGATTTCTATTTAATTTACTTTATCCCTAATAATTCCACCATCTTAGTATTTTTATTATACAGGATGTCCATAAAGTTCGTGTGCACTTAAAAAAATTTATAACTCTATTTGTATTTGCGATAGAAATATTTTGTAAAAAGGATTAGAAAGAAGTAAATCTATATTTTTTAAGGTTTTATTAAAATTTTATTTAAGTTTCCACATGTCCTCCATCATTAGCAATACAAAGGGTAATACGATTTTGCAGTTCACAGAAAACATTTGCCTACTGATTTACAGTAATGTCTGAAATCGCATTAGTCATTTTAGCTAGACTTAAAACTAGGTACATCAAACTTTATAACATTTTTTACAGATTATTTCTATTGCAAATACAAATAAAGTTATAAATTTTTTAAAGTGCACACAAACTTTATGGACAGCCTGTATTTGGTTGGTGCTCAAGAACTGTAATATTATTTAGAATCTAGCATTCTAACAAAATTCTTATGTTTTGTTTGTTTTTTTTTTGCTTCAGAGAAAACTTATAGAAACAATATAGATTTTTTACAATATAGAAAAATATAGATTTTTCTTTTTTCTTATTTTTTTGCCACAGAAAATAATAATAACCTAGAAACAATATAGTTTTTTGTTTGTTTTTTAACATAGAAAAAATTATAATATAAAAATAATATAAATTTCTTTTACTTTTCCTTATTTTAACCTCCGAAAAAAATATTATAACCTAGAAATGAAATAGATTTTTTGTTTGTTTTTTGCCACAGGAAGAAATTATAAAATAGAAACAATACAGTTTTTTTTTGTTTTTTTTTGTCTTTTTTTTTTTACCATTGAAAAAAATTCTTATCTAGAAACAATATAGATTTTTTTTTATTTTTGCCACAGGGAAGAAAGTTTTTAGTTACACAACTCCTCTGCTATTATACAACATCAGTCAAGGTCGCTTGCACCGACTTAGCATTACAGAGGATGAGATGAAGAGACGAACAAATCCACCAGAGAAATTAAACTTACGTGCTCTTCAGGCATTGTTACAGACACACAAGAAAAAACAATGGAAACAAAACCTTAAAAATAAAATGTTGGATTCTTCAATTACTGTAAACGAAGGACAGTCTGGTTATCTGACTGCTTTCACACGACTTTCGGAAGGTAAGTTTGAATCTAAATTATCATATTAACAGATAATAATTTCTTTTAATTCTAACTAATTTTATTTTTCATCTTAATTGATTTTCAAGTTAGCCTGAATATAGAATTTTATGAATCTCTAATGATAAAAAAATTCCATATCCAAAATCCTCATGCAGATGAAGGAAAGAATATAAAGTATAAAAAAAAAAACCTGTGAAAGTCAATTATGTTGAAATTAGGAAAATTCTATTAAAAAATGGAGGACAAGTCAGGTATGGTGGTAGACTATATTTGGTGGGAGAAGGGATCATGGCACCCACTCTGAGTTAAGGTTCAAAAAATACAAAGGAAATATTATCAGTGTGTGTGAAAAAATTGGAAAAAAAGCTGTTGAATAATGAAAAGGCCATTTGAGGGTAAATATATAAGTCAGGTCACTATGAATTTAAATATAGTATTAATTTCTTTACTTAACAAGAATAAAAGAGCAACCCTAAAAAAATTAAAATATAAAATAAAAAATATCACTTTTATTGCATAAGATACTATGAGAATCGGTATTAATGGGTTGGTCTGATCAGTACATTTGACAATATTTAAAAGATAATAACACCTGTGTTACATAAGATAGAATACAGGGAGTAGACTTTATGGGATTACAAGTATTTGGAAGTGACTCAGTAACAAAAAAAATTATTACCAAAATGACATAATGTTTTATATTTTTCAATATTCATCGTTCTTCCCTTTCTATGACTGTGAGTTTTTAAAAAAATCTGTCTGTTGTAGTTTTTATTGTTTCTAATTCTATAGTACATTTATTAAGATGTGTTTTCTGTTCTCTGTGTTAGCTTTTATCTTTTTCTTCTTTCATAAGGCAACAGGTTCATTACTTGCTTACTAAAATTTCTTCATAGGATAATTTCTAGGAGTAAAGATTCAGCTATGAAAAGTAGTGTAGAAAAAATTGTGCAGTTTGCTTGCAACAATTGCTGCACCAAGAAATGATGTGAACATGACATAAAGGAAAATATCAGAACCGATTTATTGCTTGTGTCATTCAAAAGAACTCTTCTTTCAAATCAGGAATCAGTTCTAATGGGACGAAAAGCATTACATGTAAGGAAAAAAAAGTTGGTCAGTCTTTTCATATATGCATCTGTAAGTGCAACTAGTACTTCACTTTGAAGATGTGTTGACACAAGCTTATTCCCAAGGGTCATTAACCATAAAACCTTGAATGAGAACTTGGATTGACATGACTTGGTCCTTGTTTCTCATGTCTACTCCTGAACCAGGGGAGGGGAGCCTGATTGGAAGCCCTGGGTAGTGCTTTGTGATCCTTACTATCTTATCAACATTTGCTTTTTTTCTACCTACATTTATATGCATTACAAATTAAACTAAGCATAACTGACTATTAAAGGATGAAAAATTTTCACTTATTTTGACGTCATTCTGGGGTCTTTTTTTTTTGTTTTTGGTCCAAATCTATAAATTATTTTGCTCATGCTAAGTCTTAAAAAAACACTATATAAAATTTACTATTTTTTATCCATAATGTTAAATGTGTTAAAATTATTTAATTTTTTAACAAGACAAAAAGTTAATGTTAAAAATTGCTGCAAAACATTGTTGATTTACTTAAGATGGAATGATCTTTTATGATATATCTCTAACTTGTATTTAGATAAATTGTATTTATTTTCAATTTTTCTAGTTGAATTATTCATCTATATTGCATATGATCCATTATTGTGCATAATTATGTTACAATAAAATTTATATTTTATATGAATACTACCTGTGAAGATTGAGATGCAGTAGAGTGTGAGGGGGCCCATATCATAGATTCAAGCTGCATATCATTTATTCAGGAGATGGGTGCACAAGACCCTTGCACTGGTCCTGCCTGCAAGACCATTATAGATGATGTGAACTTTGTGTATATTGGTGAATATACATCTGTGGGGTCTGTGCAGAACCACTTGTCATTCTTCTTAAAATAGCCACATTCAAAGAGCTGGCTCTCTGCAAGAGGCTGTGGGTGGCAACTAGTGCTACAAGCATAAAATGCATTTTCAATTGAGCTGTCTTTCAGTTTCTTGGTTTCCTGCCACCTACAAAAATTTAAATACAACGTCAATTGCTATCTTCTGTTTTTCTGAATCATGTTTTATTGTCCTTTCTCCTCAATAAAGTCTTTTCATTTTCTTTCACTTTCAGTAATTCCTGGCACCTTAGTTGGCTTTATTGTCTTACTTGGAATGAAATGATAAAAAAAAAAATCCTGTGTCATTTGTAGTTATTGTGTCAATGCTCTTGATACATTTGAAGAAAAAAATTGAGATTGTTAAAATTTAGTACATGCCATGTATAATTGCATTAGTTTATCTTACATTTATGGATTACTTAAAGGTGTTGTCGAAAATACCAGGTGAAATATAAATATATATATATATATATATATATATATATATATATACTAGCAGTAGAGCCCGGCGTTGCCCGGAGATGTAACAGTAAGAGATAGATCAAGTATCGACCATCATAAAGACTGTAAAATAAAATTGACAAAGATTATTGTTTAAGGTAATTTTACATAGTCCAGTGAAATTTTGTTGAAATCGGTTGAAAAATGTAGGAAATCCGATCCAATAAATAAACGTACAGACACACACACACACACACACACACACACACACACACAATCTGCGTTTATATAAGTAAGATATATATATTCAAACAGGTTTGGTTAAATAATTTAGGCATACTATGTATGTTTATTTTTGTTTTAATCCTTTTAAGTCCACAAATCAATTTCTTGGTAGCCATAGACAAATTGATTAAGAAAAATACCAAAACCCACTGAAGATGGTCTCATTCAGATGACACCAAAAGTACTTGGGAAGATAAAAATTATTTGAAAGAAAATTTTGGTATTTGTGGACTTGAGAGGATTAAAACAAATATAAACAGATATAGTATGTCTAAATTATTTAACCAAACCCTGTTTGAATGAAAATGTTAGTTAGTTTTTCCTTCCGCTTGTGCTGTTAAGCATCACCTGGAGACACAGTCATCTCTCAGCAACAAGGCGAGTGGCCTGGAGGAAAGATATCACGTGGGCTCTGAGAGTGTCTGCCACTGAGTCACTCCAGCATCTTCTTGGTCTGCCTCTCACTCTCCAGCCAGAGTACTTGAGAGTGTATGCTGGTTGGTTTAACAAAAACCCTTGAGAGGAAGCTGATCACTTGTAAGATGTAATGCCCAAGGAAAACAGTGAACAAGCCCAAGCGAGACAAGATCAGGAATGAGACAATAAGTGATATGGTAGAAGCAACACCAATCATACAACACATAGAACAACACATATATATATATATATATATATATATATATATATATATATATGTGTGTTTATTATAAACAGAGCATTTACTTAAATACTTGTATCTATAAAAAGAACGTTAAACATAAAAATGTCTTTAATAAATATATTGTCGGACTTTTTTTCCATTTCTTAATATATATATATATATATATATATATATATATATATATATATATATATATATATATATATATATATGAAGAAATATGGTCTTAAGGTGTGTTATATTTATGGATAAAGTGCTCAATATCAGAGATAGAGTGTGTAAATATAAAAAGTAAACACTTGGAAGTCTGTTTCATGTTAGACGCAATCATCAGGCCACGAGTGCAGTTATTTTTCTAAAATAAATAAATAGCTGAGAAAAATAACAGCACTCGTGGCCTGACAATTATGTCTAGCATGAAACAGACTGTCACCTCTAATGTTGACTTTATGTTTACTTTTATATTTATTTATATATATATATATATATGTAAGTACAAAAATTCATTAAATAAATAATATATATATATATATATATATATATATATATATATATATATATATATATATATATATTACTTATTTAAGGAATGCACATTTTTTGTACTCAAAATGTAGACAAGAGTAATTTTTTAACATTAGGTAATCTTGGACTTTTGTGCCCACAAAAAAGTGGAATGTCAAAAGGACAACTTTTCCCTTGACACCAATATTATTTTAACTACCTTCACCCCTTGGCAATGTTTATTATTTTAAAAAGCATTAATTGGAAGTAGTAAAGCTTAATCATGTGGAAGTGAATTTATACACTTTCTTTGTTCTTGAGAATTGAAAACAAAAATAATAAACACTATTAATTAGATTGTTTATTGAAATGGTTGGCAAAACATCAGCTAATTGCCAATCAATTCAAACTTGTAAATAATAAAGATTTCCTTATAGTTGGTTCGCATATTTTAATAATTTAGTAAGTGTTTATAAATTTATGAATAAAAAAACTATTTTCATACTTACTTCTTTATAAATTGGTAAATGATAAATATGATATTGCATTACTTTTAATACAACTGTATTAGTTTTTAGAATGTTGTAAGTATAAAATTATTCTTATAAATAAACAATCTAATAAAAAAACAGTGTTTAATATTTTTCTTTTAAATTCTCAAGAACGAAAAATGTATAAATTCTCTTTGATCACGTTTAGGTTTTATTACAATTTTAATCATCACTTTTTAAAACAATACACATTACCAAGGAGTGAAGGTAGTTAAAATAAGAGCAGTATCAAAATAAAAAATTTTTTTTTTTATTTTTGCTGATACAAAAGTCCAAGATTGCCTAAAATTATTTTTTATTACCATAAACATTATATTTAGCGCGTACATGAGTTTGAGTTGCTAGCCCTGTTTTTTGTTATTTTCTTAAACAGTGAAATTAAGATCAACTGGCCTAGATCAAGAAATCCTACTAAAGAAAAATGTGCCTACCAACAGGAAGCACTTTTTCTTTTGTGTCTACATATAACTTTCAAGTCAGTGAATTTCTGTTTTTTTCTTTTATTAATTACAGAAGAAGCTTCCCATTTGGAATTTGAACTTCTGAAAATGGTTGCCAACCCAAACCATGTAAAAATCAATAGCATTGTCAAAGAATTAGTTACAGAGGCTATCCCCAGTATTGAAAAAGACCAGGAAATTCAAGCTAAAAATTATCTTAAAAATTTGCAGGTGACACGGTAAGTGAGTCTTACATGTATGCTTTAAAAATCAAAGTTTGATTTATTCTTTACATGAGTTCACTATAATCATTCCATGTTTAGAATATTGCTGCCACATATGGTCCAATGACAGCTGCTATTTAGCTTGAGCTACTTGATAAAATCCAAAGAAGAATCAGCAATACTATCAGTCCTGATCTGGCAGCTTTGGCTTCAGTCAAATTCCCACCTCCATAAGGTTGCCTCTCTGTGTCTTCTCTATAAATACTTTCATGGTAAGTGTTTGGATGAGCTTTCACTATGGTAGCTAGACTTTTTGAATTTAAGTACTAGACTGGCATCAAGATCTCATCAATTTACAGTTGAGCTGGCAAGATGTAGCCATAAGTTCTATGCTAACCGTTTCTTTTCTCGCACTTGCTTGTGGAACTCCCTTCCAGCTCCATGCTTTCCAGCCAACTTTAATCTGCAAAAATTTAAATGCAATATCAATCCTACTCATTATTAATGCTTCTGTTCCTAATTCTTCCACACTCTGTTACCCCCTGTGTCTTAATGGCTATAATGCCTTGAATGGGTTGATACTGATTTAAAAAAAAAAGAAAAAAAAATTCATTTGAACACATACATAATTGTAAGAAGATAAAGAGCTGTACAGAAGAAAATGTTGATTTACCTTGTTTTAGTTAAAAAAAAAAGCATCTCTACTAGACAAGGTCACCAGTATTATATGTCAATGAAAATGAAAATCTTTTTTGATTCTAGCCAATTGTAAGTAGCACAGGTGAGTTAAGTAGACAGTTTAAAAAAAAAAAAACATGCAGATCTGTTTTACTCCAGGCCAATCATAAGCATCACAAGTAGAGTAGACCACTTTAACCCTTTAAGCTCTACATTCTTGAACAATTTTTACCCATCTGCTTGAGCTTCTGAGTCAAAATTCTCAAATAATTGGTATGTAATATTTCACAGTAGATATAAAAATAGTTACAAGTGATTACCCACCATTTAACTGATGGCTGGGCATTACATCATTTTTTCTACCACTAGTAAAACGGTGGTCAGGGCTCAAAGAGTTAAGAACTGCTACTTTTTTCTGCCACAGGTTTTCCTGGGTAGCTTCAAAGGAATGGAGCAAACCTCATGGCTTTTTGAAACTTTACCTTGCAGATTTTGGAGAACTTGTATTCATCCTTTAAGACCTCATTTTTTATGTTTTAAGAAAGTGACACTTTTAAATGGATATATTCAAAAATTATTTCGGGGAATAAAAAAACAAAGATTTTCTTTTCTACATCTTTTTCCGAATATATTCAAAATATATTTCACAGGCCAAAACACAAAATATTTGGACATTTTCTACCATTCACCCCTTCCACCAAAACAAACTAGAGTGACATCATCATCCCTCTCACTCTCAATTTTTTTCCTCTAAAGGTCAATATATATATATATATATATATATATATATATAATATGCAATTTTTTACATATATATGCATGGTACTTATTGGAAAGCACTCAATATCAGTGATAGAGCTAACATATTTAGTTGGATTGATGTGAGTTTGTGACCCTGGGTTTCGCATCATTTGCAATTGTCAGACAAACTCAAATAGTGTGAAACCCAGGGTCACAAACTCACATCAATCCAATTAAATATGTATATATATATATATATATATATATATATATATATATATATATATATAAAAAAGGCTTAAACACTAATATTCCATGGTCATAATTTATTCCATTGGAATCGTAAATATATATTTTGTATATGTATGTATATTTTCCACTAATATTATATATATATATATATATATATATATTAGTATGCATTTGATTATGATATAGGAGATTCTGTAGTTGATATATTAGAATTTACTAAATTTTTTAGTATATTTTCATCTTGTTTATAATTAGTATGCATTTGATTACGATATAGGAGATTCTGTAGTTGATATATTAGAATTATAAACAAGATGAAAATATACTAAATAATTTAGTAAATTCTAATATATATATATATATATAGTCAGCCACAGACAGACTTTGCTGTATCACAGCTCATTAGTGTGGCTAGACATCCGATTACTTCAAGCCAGACTCAAAATTTGACCAATTTGGTATCAGTCAGAGATTCTACCCCCATGCTATCATCACATGGCAAAGCGGAAGGGACATTTTAACGTTTTTACTATGCAAAAGACATCAGTAGCTAGGAGAGCTCGATTCGAGTAGAAGAGCATTGAATGTTATATATATATATATATATATATATATATTATCTACTGTATACAAGGTCAAAGAATCCCTTGAGATAGAGGGTTACCAAATAAGAGGTAAGAAGCAGTTTATGGGGATATGTGGGATGATAACAGTTAACCCTAGACATGAATAAGTGAAGATTGTAGTGATCAGGGAAACATATTCTTGGGAGTCGTTTCCACAACGTAGCAGTTCATGGGAATAAGATGTTTGACTAGAACTTATAATTTACCAATGGAATATGAAAGGAATAAGGGTGTTTCACTACAATCTGTGTGTCATGGTAGGTTTAGCCATGAAGATTAGAACTGGTGGAACTAAAGAATGTAATTTGTCTGAACACTTTCATAGAAATAACGATACAGTAGCAAGAGGCTTTTCAATATTTCAGCTGTGTGAATGAGGTTGTAAGGTAGAAAATAATCTATTACCCACAAGACCACGTAGATGCTTTTGGACTCTAGTGTGTAAAGTGAAGACTGGACAACTCCTGCTCATATATGGCAGCAGTACTCCATTTTTAACCTGATCTAGCTTTTGTAAAGATATAGGATAACATGTGGAGTCAGATGCTTAGAAGAGCGGTACAGGAACTGATCATTTTTTCAGTATCTTTAGTGATGAATCTCCCTGAGAGAACACTTGTTCATTATTATAGATGAAAATTCAGGGTCTACTCAGTGATGATGAAACACCGCAAGTTTGATTTTGGTGATATTGAATGTGACTAACTTGTTTTTCACTCACTGAGCTGTTAAAGCTAAGTCAGAGGAGAGATCAGCTTCCAGGCTCTTGTCATCTCCCATGCACCGTTGTATCATCAATTTATATGTTCACAAAAGATAGGAATATACTCTTATGCAAGTTATTAATGTAAAATAGAGAGTTGGATCAAGAAGCAAGCTTTGGAGAATGCCCATATTGATCACATGGGTTTTCAGCGGCCTACCAATTAGGAAAGACTTGATAATCAAGAAGACAGTGATTCCATAGCTGGTTGCTTGTGTATACTCTCTCTATACCAATTCTTGTCAAAGGCTTTCAATATATCTCATGTGATTGTCATTGAGATGTATTTATTTACACTATTTACATCATTTAGACTCTTGTCCTCATCTTTATGGCCATATTTACAACATTTCGTCTGTTATATGCTCCAACCTTCTTCAGATGATATATGCTGGAACTTTGAATCAAACCTTTTATTTAGCTCACAGGGGTAGATTGTTCTAATTCCACATGACATGCCTTTTTTGGATATCTCAGTTTAAGTTAATTCCTTTTATTAACTCAACTCTCCAAGTTTTTCTTCCCTCTGCTACAGTCAGGTATTGAACTGACAACTCTTTTGGTCAAGTCACTTTTTGGATTAATCAACCAACACTTTTATCCTCGAGGCTATGTGGACAATGTAAATAGCTACAATACTTCAGTATCTGTCTATATTTCTGAGATGAGGTATTATGTACACTATTTACATTATTATCGTCCTCATCTTGTCACTATATTTATTACAATGTTTCAGCTGTTGTACACTCCAGCCTTCTTCAGGTGGTTGGAATGTCAAACTGAACCCTTTATTTCGCTCACTAGGGTAGACTGTTCTAGTTCCATGTGACATGTTTGATGGATGTGCCTTAACCGGGTATTGAACTCACACTCTTTGGGTCCTGTCACTGGATCTAACTAACGCCATTATCCACTAGCCATGTGTCCTTGACTCGCGTTAGTTAGATCCAGTGACAGGACCCTAAGAGTGTGAGTTTAATACTCGGTTAAGGCAGTGGAGAACTTGGAGACGAGAATTAACAGGAGATAACTGACAACTGATATCCATTAAACAAATCACAAGATAGGATTTCAAGTCTTATCTCAAACTACTTCTTTACTCTAAATCCCCACAATTTAATATTAAGTCTCAAGCATAATTTGATCGAAAATGTGATAAAACGTAATTTTAAAAAAATAATAATAATACAACAAATCAAACATAATTGTATCTCTTTTTGTCGTTTTTCAGTCGTACTTTGGACGAAATCTACAAGAAATTTGTGTTACATTCCGAGAACTTCTCCCTCATCACCCATACGTTTGGCACTTCTTGTATGGGAGTGATGAAATCGGTTTTTGATGACATCCTTGAAAAAACAATGCAACGGACGATGGAAGAGATTGGGAACGCTTAGACGGATAAAAAAGTTAATTCCCTTGAAACAGAGTTACCTCCCTTAACATTTTAGTGTTTTGTTTTTTGCTTCAATGCCAGAGAAAATTTGATAATTGTTAAATGAATTCTCTTAAATTCTTTAAAACATTGATTTGTTTTAAATTGTTTTACAATTTACAATCATTTCTGTTATGTGGAACTTTAAAACTATTCAGAATAAACATTAAGATTATTAGATGCTTTTCCATTCAGACGAGTATACTTATCTTGGTTGCTATACTTTTTCAGGTATCTATTATACTTGAATATTGAACTAAAACCTTCATTCAGTCTCCAAGGATAGATTGTTTGCATTCCATTTCCATGCTTAGAGGATGCCTTTTATCAGTCTATTTTCCTTTATGAAACTTGGTTTTTCTTTTAAACTGAAATGTATGACTTTTCCGACCCATAGATTGAACAAGATATGTTTTAACCAATATGTTAATCTACTTAGACAATCCAGTGGTATAATTTTGGAACCTTAAACCTAACTTCTGTATTTAGGTTGTGCGCTCAATCTCCAGGCTAGGTAGTGCTGAAAAGTCCTACACTCTAATAACACAAAGATAAACTGGAAAATATTAACTTATAAGGGATATCCCCTAAGCATGGAAAGCCTTATTGAGAAAAATTTACCTCTGGAGATTGAATTAAAGGGTTAAAAATCATTTCACCCCAAGCAAGGCAATAAAGCCACTAAGATACAAATGGGGTTACTGAGTATGAGAGAATATGAGAAAAATAAAACATTATTAAAGAGAGAGAACAATAAAAGAACAGGAATTAAGAACATGATAGAAAATGATTGCATTTAAATTTTCGAAGATCAAATTTGATTGGAAAGCAAGAAGCCAGAAGAGAGTTCTGCAAGCAAGAAGTGTGAGAGAAAGAAACTGTTAGCATAGAACTTATAACTTACTAAGACAAATATTTGAACAAGGCTAAATATTGTGAGCATAACAACCAAGATGAGGATAGTAATCTGAATAGGATGGTATAAACATAAATATTAAGATGTGTTTGCTTTATGAAGTGTGTAAAATAAACAGATTTTATTTTTATTCTTTTGATGAGGTCATCATTCTTTTAAATTAATGATTTTCATGTGAAGAATTGATTATTTTACATTACAGCTAAGATAAATATTTTGGGAAAAAATTCTAATATGTAACTCTGTGTGCACACAAAATGTAAGTTTGTTTAGATTTTCCAGAATTCAATAGAAAATCTCATGACATTTAAATGATTAACAAAAACTATATTTTAATTTATTTTTAAATCCTACAGTGGAGTAATGGATAGCAGCTCAGATTGAGGAATCAGAGAGCAGAGTTCAAATTCCAGTCATATCCATTACATTCATTTATATGCTAATACTCTTGGAAAAGGTATGAATCCTCTTCTAAGCTATGGGTAAGTAGCAAGACAGACCAGGTTCTATAGCCTTGAATGGCAACTGGTCTAGTGCAGAAAGTAATGGCAACCTGCTGCGGGAAAAAATCTGGCTCGTCAGTCATGTATCAAAAGATACATGATCGCCTAAACATGTATCATATGTCACATGGCACATAACTGACTGACTGATTCTCTTAATTTTATGATGACTTTGAGGAGATAACATTTCTTTTGATAACTTTGCAAAAATATGATATTGACAAAAACTGTCCCAGACATCGATGAGGCAGGATTCAGGAAAGTTTACTCTTTCAGGAATAAGAATATGCATGTGTGTCTTACATATATTTATATGTGACAAAAATGAGAATCAGTGACATTCAGATAAATAATGTCAAGAGATCTATAGTGATGTAAAAGAAAACCAGACCACTGTTACATATCCCCCACCTCATGGGGGTGGGGTCTTGAGCAACAGTGTCACTTCACTCATATGTTGTAACTTCACTCTCTTCTTTTTATCATCTTCCAACCAGTGTTCGCTAATTGTTTTGATTCAGTAAAGAACTTCAACAAAGGGAATTTTAACTTAACTATTTTATTAAACACGTCGATGTGCACATTTCTAACTAGCCACTGAATTTGCTCTCCCCCTCCACTGGGGAGCAGTTTCCAGATACAAAAGGAACGCATCTACATTGTTCAATGGCTAAAAACCAACTCTCCAAAAAAAATTTCTCTATCTATCATTCCCACACTAGTTCAGCCAATCAAAATCAACTTCCTTTATTTTGTCTTGTATCTGATCCCTAAGGTCAAATTGAGGAAGTCCGAGCAGAGATACAATTCTTTAAAAAATAATCGTCTGCTAAACTATTATTTAACATTCCTTACCTAATCATTAAAAAAAAAAATTAATTTATGATATTTATTTCAAGTATATTACTCTAAAATCCCCTCTTTCATGTCTGCAAGGTCTACACCTTACATTTTTTCTTCATGGATCTTTGGTCACATGACCCCCTCTGGTATGCACATATACCATTTCTGAAAAAGAATGAACATAAACAACAAAACTCTTTTTTTCACGCTTCACAAACATTTTTTTTTTTCAAAAAAAACACAATGCCAAGCAATCCTTTGTTCATTCTTGGTCACTAGCTTCCGTGACCCAAGGTCAACGCCTCAGATGCCAGTCTGGATACAAGTCACTCCAATGGTGAACTTTGACCTCTCCAATATCCCCTCTACTCAGATCAACAGGTACCACCACTGCAATCCAATATTTCTGGGGAGAACAAAATTCTTTGCCTCTTCACTTGAGACTTACATGAAATGTACATAAAATTCACAGAAAAAAAACACTGATCCAAAAATCACACAATACATGCCACAAAAACCCATGCTACAGCATCAACCAATTCCATAACTGATCCATATCCTTGCCACCTAAATTTTACACTTTAAATATACCATGATCCACACTTACTTCCTACTCACAATGATACAGTACACATGCTCCATTATCACCCTATTTATTCAAATACAACCAATTAATTACTTTGTTATTTGTGTATTACCAGATTTACTTGAACAAATCTTCACAAATTTACCACCATTAATTTTCTATAATCACTATTATTAACCATCTGCCTCTGTGTGTCAAAACTCAAATCACACCATCCCCAATTCCTTCTGCCCTTGACTACCCCGACAGGGAAAATAACCACACCTGCTCAGCACCTCCTAACTAATTCATTACTGGCTCTACCATGGTTACAAGGTTTTTATTTCCTTAGTCGTCTACCGTGACCTGGCATCTCACATGCCACTTGACCAATTCCTTTTGGTTGTCAGGGCTCTTCCTTGACCCTGGGTGTATCTTAGGGATATATATTTACTCAATACTGAATACTTCACAGCATAAAGTCCCCACTCTACCCGCCATTGTCCAGTTTCTATCTACATAGCCAGGTATGACAATTTCCACCCCGCAGGGCACAGACCCAAACACATTTGGAAACCTGAAACTATGCAGGCTGAATCTACTTATTCCCACAACAATTAATTAACTTAACTTTTTCACAAAAATTAACTCACAAAATTCACCAATTAACAACTTAATTCTTCAACCAATGAAAGCAAAATGATACACATACGGCTCTTAAAATAAAAAAAGAATTCCACTTTCTGTTACAAAAATGAACAAAACGATCATTTGTCAGTTAATTACAATTAACAAAATAATCTAAATATAAAACATTTTAATGCATACAAGAACACAGTCACAAAAATCTTTAACTCATTAACAGTACACAGAAATCAGTGGGAATGCCCCATCACAAAATGCAATCAGTCTTTCTTTTTCAAAACAATTTTCCATTATCTGCCCATACACAAATTCAAGTCATTTTCCATTATATTCCTGTAGACAAATTCAAGTTTCCACATAGCCACATACTACCAGACATACAACATTACAGTGTGCCAATCAAAATCAACAATAAATTTTCACACATGGTTCTAAACTTTTGTAAAAAGACAAAACAACAAAATCAGTCTCTCACTAAAATGTTTCATCAAAATTGACATTGTTGCACCAGTGTGTATGTGTGAGTGTGGGTGTTCACTGTGTCATTTCCTTCTTTCTATTTGTCCTTTTTTTATTGTCAGTCCATCAGGTCCTGTTCGTTGACTGTTTTTTTACTTTTTTCTGATTTTTTCCATCATTACTTCCTATTTTGTTTTGTTGCTTAGATGTGTGAGTGTGTGATCTGGAACATAGTAATATCATCATTTACTTACAATTATTTTTTTTCTGTCCTTATGTCTACATTACTTTTTTCTTTTTTTATATATTCCCTTTCTTGAGTCCTCAATTTGAAAATCCTCTCCAAACTTTTTCACGTTGTGTTGTAACCCTCATTCTGCACACACCCATGCTGGTAGATCCTGGTCAATGGCACCAAATAATGCAATGTTGTATATCTTCTGTCTCATGGTGGGGGGTTCTTGATCACTGTGCCAAAATTGAGTATATGTTGCATTCTCCCTGGTAGGGGTCAAAGGCACCAATTCACTCATATTATTGAATCTTCTCTTGTCTTCTCCCGGCCAGGTAGTGAAAAGTTTTTTGGTCCAGATATGAAAGACATCAACAAATGGGCTTTTAACCTTACTATTTTAATAACGCCAACGTATATATTTCTACCTATTCAGTGGGATTGCTCTATCTCTCCATTGGGGAGATGTTTCCAGTCATGAAAGAATACGTCTACATTGTTCAATGTGTAAGAACCAACTCATTGAAAAACCTTTCTCTGTATCTGTTGAAACTTGACTAATGCATGGAATAATAATGCAACACAAAATGTACTTAGAACAAAATGTATTGAAACAAGAAAGTGTACAAAATATTTACATATAGTCTTTTGTATATTCCTGGTAAGACTGTTCCTGGAGAATGTGTTGACTGAGTCGCAGTCAGGCAGAGTCTCTGGTTGAATCTCTTGATTCCTCCCTCTCTTCCCGGTACCAACCATATTTATATGGTCGGTACTCCACTATGCAAATTAGGTGGAT